ACAGTACTTACCAGGTAAATTACACTCCAGCTGATAATGCAGCATGCTGCCTCACTTTGATATTGTTGTCAAGGTCGACACTAAAAATAAAGGCTTGACTTTCGAGTGTAGACAGAATACTGTTAATTTCATATTCTTGAGACAGTTTGTTCATAACTGATCAGGACTACTTGAAATATAAGAACAAAACACACAAGTGTTTTCGGTCAGCTTTATGAAATTGTGGCATTTGGTTCCAGATGGAAAGGGCTTCAATACTGCATTCATGGTCACACTGTAATCTGCATGATGACAATGATGAACAACCCATCAGGGACGATTTAAGAGAAAAAGCCTTCAAATTCCCCTTCAGATGCATGTTGATTGTGTTTATTCATGGCAGTTAGGTTGATGAGGGAGCAATATGGAGGAGGCTGGATGGACACTTGTTACGCGTTACCGTTAAAATAGCAGACATCTCTTGACAAAGAACAAACAGCAAAGGCAGACTGAAATCAAGGCGTCTGTGAAAGCTCTCAGGAATGCAAATTCAAAAGCACTTCATTACTTGCTTTTTCCCTGCAATCTTGTGTCTGAGAGACTGAACTAAGTGGTTAATCAAGCCAAAAACCAAACCTCGTCTGAGGGGCCAGAGAGGAGGCACCTCTGCTCGCAGACAAGGCCAAAGCTGTGAGTATGTCAGCACATGTGAAAATACACAACTATGTGTGTTTTTAGAAACTCATAAGAAAAGGATAACACTCAAAAATAATTATTATGAGATATCCGTGACTTGTTTTTGATTTTGATACTCTGTGGGTAATTTCCTTGTTAGAATTACGGGAAAAGTACTGGCATCTAGATTTACCAGCATTTAACTGCTATTTTATATCATATCAACAATAACTGTATTTGTTTTTAATAAGTCTCTGTCGAGAGTACAAGCTTTCTGATACTGTCAGCTTGTCATTCTATGGTTATTTCAGTGTTCCTACTGTTCTCCCTATGAACAGTTTAATGTTCTTGCCCATGTACCATGCAGTCAGTATCTTGTCTTCCTCGAACTAGCACATGATGTTAGCTTTTTCGCAACTCCCATAGGTTACAGGAATGTTGCTGTGGTAAATTTTCCAACAAAAACCCCCAAAAATGAAGTGATTAATCACTAAATATGATTAATCACATATGGAGGAGGGTGTATGAACATTAGGAAACTAGTAAAAAGCTACAAAGTCTTAGCGCAACACATCATCTTAAACTACATTGTCCCTATCAAATGAAAAACTGTAAGCGTGTTGTGATAATGGCCCATTATAATGGAACGCACATAGCACATTCACCACAATTAAAGTCAACACACTGATTATTAATTAGAAAGAAAAAAGATGCTGAATAAGACAGTGGTTTTCTCATCAACATCAGCATTTACAGCATTCAACTATATTCAAAACACACAAAAAAAATGGTAGATTACTTTATTATTACTGTATTTTTATTTATTTTACATTTTTAAAGCAATTTGTTACAGTGTACAACTCTTCTACTCTTAGAATAAGTTGGATTATTTCTATGACATGTACTGTATGACAGAAAAACAAACAAACAAATACTGTAATGAATCCAAAGGGAATTTAGGCATTCAGTCAAAATGTCAGAGATGCTGTCGGGTTATGTTAGTACATAGTCCTTTTCACACACACATTCCCTAACGTTATTTAAGAAAAAAAAAAAGAGTCTGAACTATTCTGGTAGAGACAGAATCGTCTCTTTCTCGCTTAATCAGGGTCTTAACACAATTTTAAGGCTATGTGAGCCTTCACACACCAACAGAGAGGGCACAAGTCCTCTGTTGTCTGAAGTTAAACGCATTAACACGATATCTCAGGATGGAACTTGAGCACTGATGTTCCCCTTAAAACTGTCTTAACTGATTTAGTACCATAAAAGCGTTCGATTCGTTTTTACATATCACTGTAAAATAGGATAGAAAAAAACAGTCGTGAATCTGTGACTGCGTGCGTGAAGTGCACGCTCACATTAATATGGTCATTTTATACATACTGTATATCACAAGACATGCCCCTGCATTAGTCAGTAGAAACTATCCAGCAACATCCTGTAGACTAAGTGCCAAAATATGTTCAACTTGCTGCTTTATAATACGGATAAAAGCTAATAAACAGTATTTATTTTTGTAGCTGATTAAAAATTACTAGCAATCGCCAATCAACTAATCAGCTGATTGAGTAAAAGCTTTAGATCTAAATCTATTTAGACTGTCTACTGAATTTAAATATCAGCTGGATTATTCTAAGTTTATTCTTCCTTGATGTCTGCAGGGCTCGAATCAGCTCAAATAATCTCCCGTGCCTCCAAGAACATGTAATGCACCTGACAAATGACCATGATTTACTTATGACGTAGGGATTTCTCTCCCTGATCTTGTTATTGTTCAACAGGCGGAATGTGCGGAATGCCAGTGTGTGAGTGAACTCAGCGAGAGCCGACACTCGACATTAGATTTATGGGTGAAGATTATGACCCAGGGCGCTCTGGCAGAAACAGAGAAAAAGACAGCAAAGCCAAGGCCAACGGTACAGACGAGAGGAGGAGAGAAAAGGCAGGGAGAACGGAGCAAATGCCAAGAAATGAAATGAGGTGTTTGATCTCTCCAGGACAGGCCAGGTCTTACCCGTGGAGTGTCTGATCTGATGTAGAACCACTGAAAGCACCACCAGCTGCACAGGGCATTCATTACAGCCACACGTACTGGAAGAGGAGAAATACATTGGAATCTATGTATTTATTTGTGACGCCCCTCTCTGCCCGTTCCACTTCACCATCCTATAAAAATCTATCTGTTCTCTGCAGATTCTTTGAGAATATACTCCTCCAAAACAAACCTACCGTCTTTGTCCAAAAGTTTCCTTGAGAGACACTCGGTTTAACTCGAAGCCTCTGTTGTCTCTTCAAATGCCCGCTCGTTTTTCTTTTCTTTTATTCTAATCGATGCACTTGGCAAAGTGAAACGGTGTCTGCCTGCAGACGCAAAATAAGAAGCTCTGAAATGAAAACCTCCCTTTTAGGTGGCAATTGTATGTGGCTGTATCTTCGTCTGGTTTACCTGCGGGTCTTTGATCCTGACAGTGTGCGACTGCGTTTGATTCCTGGGGTACTTTGACAGTTTGCAGGCTGGCAAAAGGCCCTCCAGTGTCTGAAGTTAGATCAGAGGAGAGAGGGCCTGAAAAGCAGGCGTCCAGCTGGGAGAAGATCAGAAGAGACACAAACTTTAGCGAGAGCCATTGTGAGGTACACAGTAGCCGCTGGCTCCCGTAACTTTTCTCTTTGTGTGTGTGTGTGTGTGTGTGTTTTTTCATATGGCTATCTTCTCCCTCTCTTATCTTCGTCGCAGAAAGTTGAATGGCTCAGTTAAAGGTCTGCGAGGTTTTATCTGATTTCGCCAAAACAAGTCACCTTGTATTTGTTCCCTCTTTCAACTGTCTCTGAAGGTTTAAGGCCGGTGTGTGCTTAACAATGCTACACATCCTCTTTAAGAATTTAGTGTAAGAATATAATGAAGATCTCCTAAAAAAAAATAATCCTAGAAACATAAAACAAAATTCTTTATATATCACATCCTATGTCCAGTCAGTGCGCTTAGAATAATTATTGCAAATTGAAATTAAAATGTAAATGTGAGCATGAGTTTTTGGGAGCCTCAAGTTAAAATATCAGTCATTTCATTTACTGTAATTACTGCGTACACTGACAAATGTCTAAAATTATGGAACTGTATTTCCTTTGAGCCTCAGTTGGGTGATTTGAGGAGACTGTTTCACAGATTTGTAAAGCGTAACGGTGCCCTCTAGTGGTGCAAAGGTAGACTCGAACAAAATTGAAGAAAAAAGCAAAGAGATTTTATTTTGCCAGTTAGTTCTGGAGTTTGGTTAGGTGAAACCATATAAATGCCACACTGCAAGACAGAAAACAAAACTGTGCAGGTATCGTACTATGCAAAGGTCTTGACCTGTCCCTCAATTTCTTTATATTTTTCTTCCAATGAGTCACACTCGGTTGTATTTTTTAGGTGGCCTTGCACAATAGTTCTCCAGATTTTTCTGAACTGTTCCATATTATTTCTTCGGATTTTGGCTCCCTTTTCACTTATTTGTCAGACATGTGCTTTTACCTCATCATAATAATTATTCAAGCATAAAAAAGGCACCTAACTCAAGAGATGGACCAGTATTGTTCCTGCACATAACAGTCAACTTGGCAAAAAAAAACAAACAAACAAAAAACCTAGCTAAATGTTGTGTTTTGATGCTATTTGTTATTGGCAGCCTGTCAAAAACTTTGTTGCAGATTCTATAGTTAAATCTATTAAAAATACCCCCCAAAAAATAGTTTTATTAGTCCCACCTGTGGGACTAATAAAGGTCATCTTAAAATGTATTTCTGCAGAAACAAGGTGTTTCGTGTTACCCAAAAACTCGACATATCTTGGCGTGGTGTGCAGTGTGTCCTTTATTGAGCACAAGTTGCAGGCCTAAAAACTAAATTCTCTGGCTATTGGAGGCTAACTGAAATTATTTCTGAAGACTACTTAAAGAAACCAGAAAGGCTTGTCTGAAAAAGTTCAGTCTGCATTAAAAAATAAAGGTGGTGATACCACATACTGACTGTTGGAATTGTACAAACTGTCTTTTAGTTTCATTTTCATGTATGCTTGTTCCCATTTTTCTAGCAAAATATAAAGAAATGACGGGTAGTATGAGATTTTTGCACTGTACTACATGTTTTATTGTTTGTTTGTTTTTAAGCCAGTATTTTCTGGAGCATTATCCATAGTCCTTCAGTATTTTATTAATATTTATTTCTAAGTTACATACAATTGTAAAGGTACTTGAGCTTTCCTTAAAAAAATGTCAATCAATGTAAAATGATGCTGCTTATCAGTAAATACACTGGCAGATGCCTGCGACTGCCGCCTGTAGCACATCCTGCAGAAAAGAATTAAAAGACATCATTAATCGATCGATGATGCTAGCGATCTACTAGCTCTCTGCGGTGCACTTGGCATTTGCTCTCGCTCCTCGTCTGCTTTCAACCACATTCAGGTTCTGCTCGTTCACTACAGAAATGGCAACTTCAGTGAAACTCAACACCGGTGCACAAATGCCCATTTTGGGACTGGGGACGTGGAAGGTGCGTCTGCTTTCATTTATTATGCCGTCCGACTTTGCACAAGTTTGTAGTTAGCCTTTTATGTAAGCTAACATGCCAACAGAAAATATGGTTGGAGGACGAATAATGGCCGTTTAAAACAAGTTTCTATCGTATTATCTTTCGATATTTCGAGGTAAATTGCATATACCGTCTACAGAAATTACTGCTCGACATTATTTTCATTATTTTATATTTTGGGAGTGGAGCCCACCTTGGCCGAGTTTCTACAACCATGACAAAGTCTGCGCGAAGCTGGGGCAGTCCTCTAATGCCCCATGTTTGCTTCACTGTTATTCAGTGCGCAGAATCAAGAGTAATTTAAGGATTTGTTACAAGCACTGACAAGTCGTACTACGTAACTGCTGCTGAGACACAGCTGATACATTTACCCTGCTTGTGTAAACAGTAAGGGCAGCAAGTTTAGTGTACTTGAAAGCTGAAGTCACTGTATTCTCCTTTTAGATAATGAATATTAAATGTGTTGACCTTTCCTTCTTAAATAAAGGATGGAAATTGAATTTGTCTGCCAGATATTGCTTTTAGCTAAGTGGGTATAATGGAAAAAGTAGCAAATAACATTAGGAAAACAGTTAGACTATAGCATCACTGGACGAAAGGTATATGTGAAGAGGACACGAGACAAGGGCAGTGTAGATGTAACCTATTTAGTGGTCCTTTCCCAACAAGACAAAATCAGGAAGTGGAACTCGTGTTTTCTAAGTTACATTTTGTGAAGTGTGCAAAATGTTAACTATTAATTGTCTGCATAGAGACAACAGGTCCATGTATAAGTCTACCATGATGTTTTGGTACAGCAGTCTAAATGATTCTTTTAACTGCCAGGGTGAAGTACCACAACAGCTAACCATCTCTTGTTTGTTAGTCTCCACCAGGCAAAGTTGCAGAGGCAGTGAAAGCAGCCATTTCTGCAGGTTACAGGCACATCGATGGTGCCTACGTCTACCAGAATGAGGTAGAGGTGGGTGAAGGTATCCACACTACTATCAAGGATGGTGTGGTCAAAAGAGAGGATCTTTTTATTGTAAGCAAGGTGAGCCATTGGTGCAAAAAGTACCAGTTTTTTTTTGTTTGTTTGTTTGTTTGTTTTTTAAGATTTTATACTAAATTGATTACCAGTGCGTGCCTTATGTGTGCTTTCATTTCCCAGCTGTGGTGTACTTTTCATGAAAAGTCCTTGGTCCGGAAGGGTTGTGAGAAGACTCTCAGTGATCTTAAACTGGACTACCTAGATCTCTATTTAGTGCACTGGCCCATGGGTTTTAAGGTAGGACCACTTTTGTTTTAAACATAAAAATATTTTAACTCTTTGCTGCCGTCATCTTGTTTAGTGGCGCATAATCCCTTTGTCATGTTACAGGCAGGTGATGAGCTTTTTCCTTCGGACAGTACAGGACAAACCATCAGTGATAACACCAGCTTCCTGGAGACATGGGAGGTAAGTTAATAAGACTGTGTGTGATA